GGAAACTGATTTGAATTGCTAATATTGCTAAACTAAAAGGTAGAAAATAAATAAATATAAAAAATCATTTTTAAAACCACGTTTTTCTGGTGGTTACACAACTAAAAACAATGAAATAAAATAAGTAAAAAAACTTTTAAAATCCACGTTCTCTTAACGGAAAAAAAAAGAAAAACATGAACTCTTACATAACATTAAAGTTGTGTAAGGTTACGTAGGAGTAAATGTTTTTCTTTTTTGTCCGTTAAGAAAACGTGGTTTTTAAATTTTTTATATTTTATTTTTTTTATTCCAATATAGTACGCAGCTGACTAGTACATTTTACAATTCAAAATTCTTTATACAAACAAAAACATGCTAACGGTCCGAGGAATGATGAAAACCACGGGATGACCTCTAACGTTCATCCCTAACGTCTTTAGGGATGAAAACAAGTACATATATGAAAAAAGAACTGGGGAAGATTACTGCCGCACATCTGCAATTTTTAATTATGAACTCGAGCCTAATTGTTGTAACGTGAAATGCCGAGTGCCAGTCTGCGTAACACTGTATAGTCGCAGGTCGAATGAAATGAGGAATTAGATTTCAATTCAATAGCAGGTCTTTTTTAGTTATAAACCTTTATAATTGTAAGTTTTTAATTAATTGCAGGAAAGATACATTTGTCTTAACTCAGAAACAAGAATGCATTTTTTTATCTTGCACTCGCTTTACTTGTGGTAAATGGTTTGCGTGAACTATTAGTTAAATAAGTTTTGAACTTTTAGAATTATTTTTATCGTGTCCCTTGATATGGCTGTAAACTTCAAGGCTTCTGAGTGTATATCACTTCAAGCTGAATTACTGTATAATTCGATACGAGAACAATTACGAGCTCGTACATATATTGTGAGTTTTATTTCAAGTCAGGCCCTCGAAGCCAGTTTCATATGAATTCCATTAAAAATGGAAGTAATCGTAAAATGTAACCTGAAAAGGATTTGAGTTAATTGAGCTCTAATTTCCAGTAATATTCTGTCACGAAAAGCAATGGATACGCGAACGAATTCTTTCCATATTTCCGGTGCCAGGCTTGTAGCACAAATGCGCGAACAAATAATTTAGGCAACAAACCTCGCTAAAAACGTATAACTTCTATGACCTTACAACTACTCTAGAGTAAGGAAATATGATATCATACAGATCCGCCTTCTGTAGATTTATAAACTCCTTTGAAAAAAATGAAATGACGTGTGAAAAATGACGTCTGAGTTCACACAATTCAAATTTCAGTTGGGGAGAGTTCTAGATGACTAAAGGTATCATTGGTTCTGTCTTGCTAGTCAAGGCCTAAAGAAATTCCCTCCGATAATATAAATTGCTTTCTAACAATTCTCCTAAGAAATATACAAACGAGTTGCCGTGTCGCTCATCTGTATGAATGAATTTTAGCGGATTGGTCTAACAAATTACTTACTCTATATATGAGTTAATATCTGATTAATTCAACATCATATTTCAAAAGCTGCTTAGTCATTTTACGAAATCTTTTCTCACTTACTGATCATTTTATATCCATTTTAAAGTAACTCACTTTCATCAAAAGTTACTTTATGGTATCATTAATTTGAGACAGTTGTTCTTTTTGGATTGGTTCCTTTCAGAAGCTAATGCTATACTTTCTAATCTATCATCAACATCATCAGAGGTGATTCACATCTCACTGTTAGTTTATTCTCGTGAATATATTAGCACGTAATGAAAATGACTGACAGACATATGCGAAGTACATAGAAGCGAGCAATATGGTGAGGTGAAAATAGTTAAACAAGACGTGCCCTGACAAAACTTTATTTAGACGTTCAAAGTCATACTGATATTAAAGCATTTGCCAATCAGTCTTTTTTTCCAGAAGTAATTCTGATTTAGAATCAACATCTCGTGTCATAGATACGAAGTAACGACAGCGAAACTACGCAGCTCAGAGTGGAGACAATGCAGCTTATTGCTTCGTTTTTTGTTCCCAATATTATCAAAATTGTTGGTCAGGAATAATAAAACAGTTATTCAACATGATCAACGTCATGGAAGCTCGTGCGAAGTGAACATATAATCTTCCGGGCATCCCCATTTACATGTGAAATATTCTGAGCGACTACTTATAATGTTTCTACTGGGCGCTTTGTTCCGGGCTGTCACTGCTATCATTCCCAATTTAGAAATAACACATTTTCTTTCAAAGAAATATAATCATTTTTTATGAGACATTTCAATCTCATTTTCTTTCAATGCGATGCATTGCGTCGCATTAAATTTCAACCCTGCGAGGTAATGTAGCTCCAATTGACTACCATTACATGAGCCTTGGGTTACGAAGATAGGATAAGGAATGGGGTTCAGCATTGACTTTTTTATTCGGATGGTTACATTAACAGTGCTGAATGACATAATAAGATGATTTTCCTCCAATACCATAACGAAGCACTTTCAATTTATATACGATTTTGATTTCGTACAAATGAGAGTATACCGAAAAGACTTCGTCGAGGAATATATAGCTATAAGTTATAATACAAAATAATCGCATTGCATAGAGCCATAGACCAATTAATACGTTTACTCATGGCAATTAACCATCTCTCATGGCATCTGCTTATGTCATATTCTAATCATAGGGCGGCATCAAACAGTTCGTAACTAAGCGTTTTCTCTATATTAAATGAAAATATTAGAGCTGAAACACGGCAGTTAAGTTACTCAGATTAAAGTATTTGCGATGAATTCTACCCAGAATGTGACTTCGCTTATCAAATAATTCAAAGTTCAAAATTCCTAAAATGAAGAAAAAAATTCCTAAAAGAAGAAGTCAAGCAAATTGTTGTGCTCGTGTGATGAAAAAAAATCAAAACGGTTTATCACCAATGACAGTGATTATATTTAATTATGAAATCGCTACATTTCGATACAAAAGAGAAGACAGCTGTAAAAATTTCCGTTTCGTTTTGTTTGTGAATTAAAAATTAATGAAGCAAATTATTATTTTCATCACTTGGTTCCACACCAGTTATATTTGTATACCGTATTGTTTTAATTGGAAGGAATTGGAGGGCGACAGCTATTGTCATTGATGGTCTCTAGTCTGTAGCAGCTCCAAAAAAATTGAATATAAGCATTTAAAAATTAATAGTTTCTCATAACTCGTTTACAATATAAATTGTCTGCTCAAAGCACAGAATTTTTTGGCGTTTCAACAAAAAATAGGATTCATATCTATAATATAAATTTAATTATAAAAGCTTTCATGATCAGGTAGTGAAAAATGCACATAGCAGCATGACAGTTTTTTTCATTCACAGAAAATGTATTTTAAGCCTCCAAACTTTGTGGCTTATGAACTTTGTTGCACGTCTTTAGATGGTTCCAGGAATCAATTTTGGTGCTCTGTAATTAAAAAACTATGCACTGGGCACACAACCTGTAAATTAACTTAACACTCAAATAAATTATATTAATTGGCTTCCTTCAATGGTAGATACGAACAAGTCAGGTGTCTCTTCAGGTGGCCATCTGAACTGGGCGTGGAAAAACACGTTATAAATAAATCAATGTATTGCTTCTTCGAATGGTATGAAGTAGCGCTGCACTCATAATAAGCAAATCAATATGATCTTTCTAGTCTATTAAATGCAGCTGCCATTATCGTAAAAAATAATTTACTTACGATATTTGGGCTTTCTGTGGGTATTCTTTATCGTGACAAATAGTCACTGATTCCTCGATAATAAATGACAGTCTGCTATCGAACTCGATATTTCATCAGCGCCTAGCCGGAGATCCAAAATGCAATACCAAAGAAGAATTTCAGATATTTATACATGCTGCCCTATAAACCGAACACTTTGAAAAAAATTCGTGGTAATTAATAGATCAGTGGCTTTAATAAATTGTTGGGTAATTATTTAGTAATGGTACCTCGTTTACATTGCAGATTTGAATAAGTACAGTATATGAATTAAGAAAATCACAACCAAAGCTACTTTCTTAGTGACCTGTACATATTAATGGAAAATGAATAACAAATCTTTTAGGCCCTGCATACGCGGGGAACGTCAGAAACGAACACCGACAACGAGCCAACGAAATGTGAGAAAGAAGTTCCATTGATATTATTTTGTTCTATCATCAAATTGATACAACCACCTCACCAAACTGAATGGTAAAAGCCCGAGACTAAAATAATTTATTTTTTTTGTGCATAACAATTATGTTAAGGAGATCCTGTCTGACAAGAGTGAGCATAGGCTTCTCGTCGTTGAAGATCAACATTTGCATACTTGATTAGAACATAATGAAAGACTGCTAAGGGCACCGACGCTGCTCGAAATTCATAATACATGCATAGCTAGCACAAGATACCATTAAATGGCTCAAGAATGATGGTAAAATGAGAGACCTGTCGGGATTTCTTATCGAATTCCAATTTGTATGCCATATATTGAATATTCATTCCCGATATTTATGATTCTCTGAGAGACGTGCTCGAGAAACCTTTATTTATATAAAATTCTAAGCATCAGAAACAATCCATACTTACGAAAATTTATGGAGAAATTAATAGTATATAAAAATTTTAAAATCATTCGGAAACTACCAGAGTTTATAAATACTTGTATGAAAATGGTGTGCGAAAAAGTATGAGAAAAATATTGAAAACGATTGAAAATACGCAAAACATCGATGCCAAATGTTAGAAACATTAATTTAAAATCGATGAAAAACGAATGAAATATTTAGAAATGCAATAAAAATACGGGTACGTTAAAACGCTTGAAAAGCGAATGAAATTCCATGATTTTTGCTCATCACAAATGCAGATAGAAAACAACGACGGTATCCATGATACCGTACCTCAGACAGATACACAAACGCACCTACAAATCACATGACAGGTCAAAATATAATATAAATCATGAGAGACAACGTCTCGTGAAGCCATTCGACACCCGGTGCCCTGCGACTGCTGTCACCTGAAGTTTTCCTCTCCTCAGATCCGAGCCCGGACACTGCGATGACAATGTGTGTTGAACCATCGCTTGAATGCTCCTATTCGCATTTTTCGCTGAATCTAAAGACATTATTCAACTGAAATGATTAGTATTTTGGAATTGAAATTATAAAACATACTAACTTGATTTGTAATTAATAGACGTTTTATCCCGAAATATTCCTGGGTACTTGTACCATTAAAGTATCATTTAGCAACTTCTCTAATTTTAATTTAGAAATAACATTAGTAAGTATGAGTCTATTATCTTCAACATTCAAATTTATCGCATCTCTTTCAGGAGGTTTTCCGACAATTATCCTCGCTGGGTCGTCATCCTCCCCGTGCTGATAGTTTTGACAACGCTGGCCCTCGCAGCAGACTCCTCGCTCTGGAGAAGGATGGTCGCCAACCCTGACGGGGCTGCAGTGACTGGAAGACTCGACTTCAGTTCTGACTCTGTGATAGCCTGCGCAGCGCAGGCAGCGCAGCGCGGCTCTGATCTGCTCTGCCACGACGGTGTGATGGCTTGTGTGATCGTCCTGACGACGTCGCTGGTTGGGGTGCTTGGTGTGACCAACCACTCGTGGAACTGCTTCTTGAGAGGTGAGGCTGAACAAAATTGGATATTTTTATCAGTGATTATTTGCTTCAAATTTCAATAATAACGCTAGTATTCAGCTGGAATTTTCATATCGGAGTATTTATGCATCCCGCTTTGTCCGCGATTATTAATTGTAACAATTCATTGCGTACATTTTACCCATGATATGAGAGATTTATAAAGCATTTGTCAAACCACTAGACGAAACAATTTGTTATCGGCTAGTACATTATTGTCAAATATACTTTTTCATGGTATTTTTAATTTAATTCTGCATTTACAGACTAGTAAGAGATCTCATTCCACCATTAGTGATAAAAAATTTATGAAGATTTATATAAGATTTTTAAAATTAATTACCTACGGTGGCAAGATAGCTTTGAATTTTCGAATGCTTTCGACGGCCTTTAAAATTATAGCTTATGTTAAAAATTTAAGCTCCGTAACTGGAAGTAATCGTGGTTTGCTTCTTGGTCTTAAAATGTCAGGGATGAAATTAAACTAGACGCAGACAGAGCGGAGAGCATGAGAATAGAAACAGGAATATATTTCAAGTCTTAACAATTAGACACAAATCGCAGGATATTTTCAATGTATGTTCAATTCTGAAATTCGATCATAATTAATCGTTTGCAGCACTTTTTTGTAAGTAGTGCATTCATTTAAATGCATCACTGTCCAGATTTTTCAGTAAAAATGATGGCTCATGCATCATGATAGGAAAATTTCAAAGCATGAGAGCAGTAATGAAGGATTTTACTGATTACAAATGTTAAAAAATACTTGCGGGATCGATGTAATTGCCTACTGGCAAGAAATATATGCACCTTTCAAAAAGCTCGACAAATCAATAAAAATCCCGCTGCGAATTATGTAGGTTTATCTGTATTGGTCGAAGTAAATCGAAATGAAAAAAAATTCATAGCAAAGTGCTGGTAGCGCGGGCTAACGGGAAAATCGGGTTAGTGAGGATTCACAGGGTAAATTTTCATGCTAATCAGCTGAGGATAAGCATTATATATAAGCAAAGTAAAATAAAGAATTGCATGGCAACACCTTCTTTTCCAATTTAATTTATGTTGTCCAACTATATTCCGCCGTTCGAAATAACTAACCTTTTTTAGAAAATATTAATAAAACGGCTTGTGATGTTTTTCTCACATGTCCCTGATTTACCCTGGCAGGCCCGTGGTGCCGTCCCCCCTTCATGCAAGTACGGGACTTGGGCTGCCTTCAGTTCGACATCAACAATCTGATGAATTTCTCAGATGCGAGGACCGCCTGCCCGCCCCCCGCCACCCTCTGGTACCCCAAGTCCAACGAACAGGCCGCAACCATCGCCGACTACCTCACCAACGAGAGTGAGTACTCAATGTGTAGTTTCTGTTTGAAGGCTTGCTTATCTATCATTAAAAAGAGCGAGTTGTGCATAGTTGCGAATGAAAAATTCCTATTCCTTGTTATTAATTTTTCATTATTTAGTTTCGACTTCGGTCCTAAATCCATGTTATTCACACCAAGGAAAATTGGGCCGTTCGTATGACGGCAATTTTAATTTATCGTCGTTACAGGAAAGCTGTTAAATTTCATTTTTTAATATCATTACGAAACTTTGCAATAACGTATGTTTGAAACTATTTTTCATCAAAACATACCACAAATGAGAGAAATTTTGAACTTTCAGGGTACGCTGCCCCCGCTGGGGGAGTTTGTGGACCCTCGGTCCCTCTGCCGGACGGTTACCCTGGTCCCTGCCGCCCTAAGGGAACAGCCACCTGCTGCAACGCGACAGGTGTTTGTGGAGGTACCATCGCCGACTGCACCTGCCCTACGTGTATCAACTACGAGAGTAATTCCAATTTTTTCCTTAATATACATAGATATTTGTATACTTAGAGATTTTCAACAAAAACTGTTCATGATATTCAACATTTGAGTGTCAAGATATATGGTTACATGTATGATAATTTGGATAACAATGAATACCACGTATGATCAATACTTCATGGGACACTTAAGGATTTATTGCTAATGCCCTTCGTAACAGATGTAGCCAGGGCCTTCTGGACGGGATTCCAAAAGAAAGCCGGCGTCTGGACGTACGACGACAACCGCACCGTGATGGACACTCGAGGTGTGGCTCCGTGGGGCCCAAATGACCCAACAAATAAATACGACTGTGCGGCGATCTACATCTATCCCTTATTCAACTATAATTACCAGTATATGGTTGTGCACTGCACCGTTTCTACTTACGCCAGCATCTGCCGGTGGCCAGAAATGCTCTAAGCTGGTATGTGGCAGTCCATGCCTCTCATTGAACGGAATTTTGCTCAGCATTGTACCAAGAACCATTTTCTGGTATGCCCCTGAATTTATCTGTTCTATCGGTTGCACATTCATCACCTCCTTGAAGTATATATAGCTCAAGCACTCATATGGACGTTTATTCACATGAAACAGACTTTGCTCATATTCACACCCATTCACGAGAAACAAACTTTCCTGACAAGGTCGATAAATAGGGTGATCTCAGCAAGCCCTGTGCCAATCAAAAGATGACAAATATAACGGAAAACCTCTCTGATGTATATTGTATTAAATGAATCTTGATTTAAACAGGGATTTGGCTGGTCCGTTTAGCGTTAGTCTTCCCAGAAGACGTGATTTAATTTCTCTCGTGATGAAGTGTACTGCACTAATAATTCAAAGTCTCAATATTACAATGCTTACAATTAAAATTACATTGGGGAAACAAGTGTGCATCCTTACGTGAACAAAATTGAAAGTAAAGGAAGTGAACATTAGAATAAATTTCAAGTTGAACATCTATCCCCATTTACGTCACTCCAACTCCCTACTCAAATAGAAGACGTTTATCCGCGGTGAAGTCCTCGAGAGTGGTGCAGTTTCCGTACTGGTTTGCTTTCCTCCTGTGAAACATACATTGAGCTTGGTATCTAGTTTGTATTTCACAGCACTTGGTTGCTCTTCTACACCCCATCTTTCTTCGAGTATTTTCGCTAAGTCACCCGAACGTGGTGGCTATATCAATCACTCAACAGAACTTCACTGCTGCTCTTCGTTACGCCATCTAACTTTGTTGATGTTCCATAGTCAACCGAACTTGGCTGCTATTCATGACTCTATTGAACCTGATTGTTCTTGATCACTTCATCCGACTACGTTGATCTTCTTCACTCAACCGAACTTGGTTGTGAATGTCAGTCAGTTGCTGTTTACCTCAGGCAGCCTGGCAGCCGCCCGGCGATGCCTTGTCCATCAACACTCCATGCAGAGTTCAAACTCTCCCAAAGATTCATGGCGGGATCTCCTAATATACATCAAGTGATGAAATTCCCCCAATGTACTAGAAGTTAAAAAATTCCAGGCCTTACTCAGCCTTGACTTTCCCAGTACTTGAGAGGTTCCGTACAGAATGCGGAATTGCCATGAAGCAGCATACCTAAAAATTCATCTTCACTCTCTAATATTAGACACATTCTACCAATATATAGATGTGAACTGCACCGCTTCTACTAACGCCAATATCTGCCTGTGGCCAGAACGGCTCTATAAGCTAGTCTCTGGCAATCGATGCGTCTCTCCAAAATGTATTTTATATCGCATTACACTAAAGTTTGTTTCATGGCGCTTTTTCAAATCTATTTGTTCTAATGGTTATACATCCCTCACCATCTCCAAATATATGCAACCCAAACACTCATTATGACTTTCATTTAACCCCGCATCACATACAAACAGACATCGCTGTCAAGGGTAGTAAATAATTTTGTTGCTTTATAGCAAGCCTTGTGATAATTGAAATTGTTGATATTGATAACTTTATCGAAACAGGGATTAGGTTGGTCTGAGTATCGTCAGTCTTACCAGACTTCGTAATTCAACGTGTCTATATATATAATGATGTGGTCGCGGCAATCATAATCCAAAGAAAGTGTGGTTCCAATGAAACAATGGTTACACTTAAAATTACACAGGGGAAACAAGTGCACAATGCACATACTTACGTGATCAACATCGCAAGGAAAAGAAAGAACATTCGAATAAATTTCAAGCTGAGCATCTCTCCCTATTTACGTCACTCCAACTCCCTACTCTACCAGAAGACGATAATCCGTGGTGCTATCCTTGTGAGTGGTTCGGTTTTCAGACTGTTTGCTTTCCTTCATTACACAGAGCTCGGAGCTGTTTCATATTTCAAAGGACTTGGTTGTTCTTCTTTACTCAACCGAATAAGGTTGTTCTCCGTCACTCAACATAACTTTGTTACTCTTCTAACCCAATTTTTCTTCGTTGATTTACTCCACTCAACCGAACGTGGTGGCTGTCCTTCACTCATCCTAAGTTAGTTGCTCGTCGTTACTCCATCAAACTTCGTTGATCTTGTTTACTCAACCGAACATGGTTGTGGTGCTGAGTCTTTTACAGCATACAATATTTTACTGTATACTTCAGGGACAGCAAGGCAGCGCTCCGAAGGTCAACACGAACTCCAGAGTTCGGCCTCTCCGAACGCTACGCAGATTCTAGGCAACATTTCCTTATATACCTTAAGTACTAAAATTCTCCTAAGGTGCTAGACCGTGACGAAATTTACAGGCCTTACTCAGCCTTAACTTTTCCATTACCTGATAGGTTTCGTATAGAATGCAGGATTGCCATGTCTCGATGTGCCCAAAAAAACTCGTGCCCGTGACCGTCTCTCGAATTATTGAGATTAAGGCCACATCCGGCCTTTAATTGCTCAACGTCTCAAAAACAGCCGCAGCTTATGTTTGCTTAAACAGTTGAGCTCAGAAATACAATATTATTTAGCAAGCTATAATTATTATTAAAAATCTCAATCTACTTTGTCTTAGTACGAGTTAGCTTTGCGTATAAAAGTATAAAATATACTCTTTGGTCTAATGAAACTATTTTAATAGACTACTAAACAAAACAGAAGTGAGCAGTTTTAATCAATTCTTTAGTATTACAATGCGTTATCAATACGGTTACTGAATTTGCGATCACACCTGTCATATTAAGAACTTTTCAAAATAATATAAGTTTTTGCTGGAAAATTATTTTCTTTAATCGAACAAAAACCAAAAATGGAATACAAAAACGCCCAGGAATACATTGCAATCTCACTGTGCAATGTACAGTATACACAGCTCAGGCCACAGTTCGAGTGCATTGCTCTCTTGTAGTACATTGCACAGTCAAAGTTCACTACTAATCCATAATACTCTGCTTTTAGAGAGCAAGAAGCTGTATACTTCAGCATGAGAGATCAATATACCATGTAATTTACAGAGAAATTATGTACAGATTATGAAATTATGTGAGTGCAACCATATTTTAGTGAGGCAATTGTAAGGCACACTCCAGGAACTCCTTCAGTTCGACGTACTTTGCTGTTCCTTCACACATTGGTCATTCGTCGTACATTGCACTACAACTTTACATTGTTCTTGTTTCCAACATACTGATGGAGTGGTGCAATTTAAAGTTCTTTACATCTATATAAAAAAGTTGATATCCAAGTAAATTTTTGAGAGTGCAATAAAAGACAGACAAAAACAGCGGATGACGATTAGTGACATTTATCTCAAATTTTTTTATTAACGAACTCCAGTCGTATTATTGGGACCTAAAATATTCAGCACCAGTCTGCGTGGCTCTGAGGTCATAGAGTGAATTGATTGAGGAATTTAATTCCAGTTAAAATGACCGGAATTTTTAATCCATGATCGTTTATCAAAATAAGGTTTCCTTTCAACATTTTAGCTCCATGTAATTGATGGACCCCATTTGTCATTGCTCAAAAAATAGTAATACCGATGGAAGATTAGAATATTTCATTTCATAATGGTTCCACTTTTCGTAAATGGTTCACATAAATTATCCACGTTCCCAGTATTTATAACTATCAAAAACTGTTTTTTCGTGTTACATGATGTGGCTTTAGAGGAAATAGGTTTAATGTTCACCTGTAAACATAATTTATAAGTTCAGATGCATCATGCTTCAGGATGTTTTCACAATCATTTTTAGTTTTCAATCAATTTTGTATGACCTCTTCTAGTAATCATCATTGCTCTAGCTGACCTTGCCGCAGAGGTGCGTTTATAGATAGCTTGTGATTATATTCGTGATGTGCAATGCCAATAAATAGTGTTCATTATATTGATTGGTTCTTGTGTCAACTTCTTTATTAATATTTTATTCATAATTTTAGCTAGATATTTTAAAAATAAAAAGTTATTTATTTCGGGACGGCTGGGTTCGTGAACATGAAAGTTGAACCTTAAGTATTGTTCTATTCTCATCTGAACATGAAACCAAAGAAAGAATTGGAAATTGAATGAACATTGAATGGTTAGGTAGGCTTGCTATGGGTTACGGTTCGGTTTTTAAGGTTAGTTTGGGTCACATAAAAAAACTATAAGTAAATATAATTAAATTATCTCTGATGCATTATCACGAGCAAGACCTCTGAGGCCGGAGTCCTTTCCGACAATTCTATCCTTAAGATAGTCTGTATCATAGGAAGCAGTTGAAAAAATCGAAACCATATGTTACTAAAAGGAGTTATGATGCAAATTAACCCAAACATAACCTAATGTGAGAGCTAATTCCTTTAACCATTTCAAAATATTTTGAGAACTATAGAACTTCTTTTGCGAGAGCATGCTTTTACTAAAAATCAAGGAAACTTCCTTAGAACCAAAGAGTCTTTTTGCGTTCTATAAATAATGATATTAAACAAGGCTGTGCACTGTGCAGTCTTTAGATACAAAACGAAGTGATGAAAAGCTATCTGATGTGTATCAAATAGCGTGCATGAGTGTTATTGATCAACTCAATTAATGAGTTTTAACGAAGCTGTTCAACACACGAGTTCAAGCCGAGCAATTTCACTAAAGTTTTACTCTCTGAACACTCTCGTAGCTATATGTTTAAAGCCATAATCATTCACATCCAAAGTTAGTATTTGGCAGCATAAATTCAGGATATTTGTTATCTTTTACGGATTTATGTCGGCTGCAAATGCCCAGGCTTTTAACTCTATTATTAACATCGCCAGCGGTGATGGATGATATGCATGGTAAAAATGTCTTCGGTATTGCATTTCCAGTGAACGGATCGTGGCAATTCACTGCTAATTTGTCTTCGTGAATAAATAAACGCATGATGATGATGCATAGTACACACGCAAAGAAGTTAAAAGGAGGCAGTAAATTGAAGTACATATTGTTAGGCTGAAAACGAGGCTCATC